TCAAAAGAGGTATGTCTTCTGAAAATTTCTATTAAGCTTTCTGATTCTATGCTTCACCTAAAACAAGATGGGGAGTAGGGTTTACAAGGGAACTCAAAATGAGTTTAATAAAACTGTTGCTGCAGACTTCGCTGTAAGGAGGCCACTGCTTCATCCAAACATTTAACAATGGCAGAACATATACTTCCAACATATAGGCCTCTATGTGTAAAAGGAAGACCTCATTAACTAGAACCAATGGAAATGCCAATATATTCTCAAATGCAATGTGCCAATAAAATGCACCTGTTAGGAGTAGGATTGGACCTCAAAAGATCTGCAACAAACATAATTTAATAGTTTAAGGTGATTTAACAATATGGAGAGTTTGAATAGGCAACAAACTTTTTAATTTAAGGAAACCAAACTTTCAAATCAGGATAAGTCTGTTTCTCCTCTGAATAAGTTTGTTTCTTTGAAGGTGAATCAATTTTCTACGTTTTCCTTTGCTTTGGGGCCAAACTAATTTTCCATACTAAAGTTATGCATCACCGTTAAATCTTCAACCAGCTTCTAATATGCAAAGGCTTCTAACATTAATTCAGACCACTTCAGCTGCTATCTAAATTCTTATTTGAGAAGGTTTTTATTAAATATTCAACTTCTGCTATTAATCTACATAAATGTACTCAAGGACCATTGACATGCACAACATCTTACAATAGTCAAAATAACCATTGATAAACAAGACCAAATCTTGGGTTAAAATACAAATGAATAGTACAATTGGATGGAAGTTAGATTGCATAGGCCTTGAGAACGAGGTAGTTTTGAAGGTGAGGCAAGGCGCTCAGCAAATAGTGATTGAATGGCTGTTTTAAGGTGTAAGATTGTATGGACGAATGCACAAAGATGAAAAACAAAAAAGATGAGAATTCTCAAAGCAAAATTGGGTGGAGCACAGGAAGAAACTGTGTCAGATCTATAGGCAGGAGAGACCTTGCACAGAACTACAAAAGTGAGTATTAGCTGTTAATTTTCTATTCTCTGCAGGAAGTATTAGGTTATTCCTGTACTAAGGGCATTCAAGAAGATGCATCTACTCTTTCCAAGGAGGAAAGTCAATCAAAGTTACAAGGAAGAAAGCTGCTACATTTAGTCTTCTTCCTATCTTGGAGACATCTTACAGACAGGTTTATGCTCACTAAAAACATTTCTTAAGAAAACCACTTTAATTTTTAAAAGTCGTTTGATTTACAACTGCCTTATATAGATATTTGTCAAATTAACACAACACCAGATATAGTTTGATCTTTGGTATTAGGCAAGTACAGACTAAACCCCAAATAAACAGATAAGAGCAACTACACAATGGTTCAGACAGCTTATCAGAGAATCACACCCTAAGTTCAATGTTATACTCTCTATGGTTGCCTAGATTTGGGTGGTAACACTGCTACCCCTCATTAGGAGAGTATTTTTAGAAAGAAGCAGAAGCCCTTCCTAGATGTCTACCAGTTGATCCTTCTGGTGTTCCCCAAATCTCTTTGTTCTAAAGCTTCTTCTAGCACCTATATAACCCATGATGCAGAAGATTTTAGTATGAGAATGCTATACAAAGCAATACCTTTCTACAAAAGCTTAAAAATCCTTACATATATCACTTCACATAACTGCACCACCCATCTTTAAGTCCTGCATTCCCTACAGTTCATAAAATTACCCTGCTAG